TGAACATTTTATAAGTGTTAGTACCACACCTTACAGTGCCAAAAAGAAAAAAAAAAAAAATTCAACACGTTGTTATGCCGAGAGGTTGGCCCGCAGGCGATGACGAGGAGAAAAACCAGTTGTTTAAAATAAATACTCACCCTCCTCCGCCGAGCATCCTCTCGATTACGTGCCAATTTAAAGGCCCATCCAATCCTTAATCTCGTGGCAGATATACAGACATCTCTATGCTTAACGGCATTTTGTTGAGACATATTTATGCAACTATTTATTTCCATGTATTTTTTCAAAGGATAATAAAAACTACTATAAAACTACATTTTAAGGTGGTTTTACTTATGAAATCGTATCCGTTCTGTTTTCAGCACGAAGATCTTTGATATCACAAGTGAAGGTACATTTTCGCTTGCATCCTTTGTTGTTGAAAGAATATTCAAATTGATTCCTTCACAAGTGAAGTGAAGTAGAAAGGAACACGTGCAAATGTACATGTTCACGTTTCACACCAACAATATTCGATGTGTTGTAGAGTCTCTCCCTTCCTTTGAAAAGCAGATATATCCCAATTTAAGTAATATTTTTACATATTTGTATGTTTCAGCATTAAATATACCTATAAAACTTTTAAATTTATATATAAAAAAACATATTAATTTATAAAAATCAAAAAAATTATTATTCTCTCTACAAAAGTTCCATATTGAAATCTGATTCGCGCTTCAATACAATAACGCACACAAAAAAAAAAGAACACGAATTTCGATTAAAATTCGTTTTATTAGAAACAGAATATTCATAAATTTCCATACATTTTAGATTCAGTCAGAAAAATTAACGCGCATTTTTCTAAAAAAGAAAAAAAATTTCAAAATGGACTGCACAATCACGAAGAGGAAACAGATTGCAAATAACGTACTCGAATTAACAAGAGCACAAACGGGTGCCAACACTTCTTAAACAAACGGTCGATTGCTCATTAATACCCTAAATCAGGTTATTATAAAACAATAGAGAACCCGAGGGAGTACGTTGTGGCCTTCTTTAAAGGCGCGTAAGTAACCGAAGAGAATATTTTTCCCAGAACACAGATTACTAATGACGTCACACAAATCCCTCGATGTACACTTCACAAAGGTTTTTATCGTAAGCTGTACGGTGTACACTTCGGAATTCATTACATTAATTAACCAGATAGTTGGCATCGTAGCCTTAACAAACGGCGCGACATTGTCAACGCCGGTGTCAAAAGTTATTTTACGCCTTGTTTCTTATGCCCCCGCTACAAAACCTGTAACTAAGGTCCAACAACGGAGACGTAATTAAAGATATTAACTAGATATTACCTCGGTTTTTACAACTTTTACTTATTACTTGCTACCTCGTAATCCTTCTTTACGTGGATGACATCTTCGGAAATTCCAAATGACGTCGATTAAAGTGTACAGCTCTTTCTAAGATTACCACTCGCTTCCGACTCCTTTTTTTTTTTTTAAATATAATTCTCGTCTCGTTAAAGATGTAATACTTAATTTCTATATTTGAAAAATCATTTTTTTTCAATCAAAAAGTATTCTAATTACTGTAAAATTAATTAATTCGCTGTTGTTTTTTTTTCTAAGCTAAGGTTTTACGTTCTGGTCGATGTAAAAATATCCTCTTTTCTAACCGATAAATAGTGAATGAGAATTAAATCATGTAAACATTGATTAAAGGTTTTTTTTTTTAAAATTATTTTAATTTTTCCGATGTCCGATTGATCATCCTCGTGCTCCCGATGCTCTTCTGATGCTTAATATCGATACGTTTGTATTGATTTCTATTTAAAATACTTAATTATCGATAAATAAAATGCAAAAAAATATTATTATTTTAATTTTTTTTTTTTATTTTAAAAATTTCGTTCTTACTTTCGAATTTGAATTTTTGAGTAATTTTTCTGTTTTTTTATTGTAGCGCCATCTGTTGAGAATTTCTACAGTTTCTGTTAAAAATAAGAATTTTATTTTAGACTTAAAATCAATGAGCTGAATGATTTTTCTTAAAATAAAAATTGTAATAAATTATAAAAAATTTTTCGAAATTAACGCAGTAAAATAAATTAAAATATTTTAGAAATAATTATCTTAGCTTCATAACCAGAAGATGGGTTTTTTAAAGCAAGTTCTTTTGAGGTGATTTATCTTATACAAAATTACTTTAAAAAATATTAAATGGCTCAAGTAATATATACATAATTTAGAATACATAAAAGCACAATTTTTCCTCTGTTGAAAGCATGGTGTGGAACGAAGCCGTTTTACCTGTTTTTAAACAAATGAAACACATAGGAAATGTTTCTTTTTTAATGAATAACAGTCTTAAACATTTTAATTTTTTTTACCAATAGAAAAAAAACATTAATTTATAGGGCACTACGGGTGCCTAAGTTCTCTTCAGACCCGGAGAAAAATCCCAGCTCTTCGTCTCGATGATCTGGCACCTTTGTCATTGTGCTAGACCATATTTGCAAGAACAAAATCTAAATGGTACTATGAGTCTAAGAGTGATCGTTCGAGATATAGCCCCTTCCGAAATCTACCTAACTGGCAATATTATGTACCGTATTGTATGTAGGCAAGCGTGAGTTTTGTGAAAATATCAAACAAAACTAACTATACAAGTAAGATAGTGTTTCATTGATATATAAATTTATAAATTTCACATAAGATGTTGATATATTTTAAATTAATTTCCAAAACGTTCGAGTAAATATATTTATTTCTTAATTTTACACGTTGTTTGATGAATAAGTGTAAAAATCATCGTGTAGTGTAAACATCGTGTAACATTAACTCTGCATTTCATAAATGATGATTTCAGAGTTACCAAGAGATGTCCAAGAATAAAATAAGAATTATACTAATTCATAACTTTGTGGAACTTCCTGCTTCTTATCACATTAGCATTTCTTGAAGAGTTGTTGGATTGAGAAATTCATTGTAAATTAGTTTTTTTAGCATTCGTATAGTTCATGAGACCTCAGTACTGGTATACTGGTAGACGCTTCTCTTCATATTGTAAAACCAATATCACACGATTGAAAAAAATCTTCTATTAATTAATAGTCGAATTAAAATAATTACATATTAAAAAGTAAATTGTCATTAAATAATAATCAAAGTCAAGCTTTTTCAGAAATGTTACATGGTTAGACAATTACTTGCTATCACATGGTCAAAGAAGATAAAGTTGTCATCAATGTAAGTGAAGGGCTTTTCTTCACCATTTATTAAATGATGTGATTACTGATCAGTGGCAATTAATAATTACTGTATTACTTTTCGGATCAACTCGTATATTAACCATCAAACTATGTGTTTCCAAAAGATATACTTGTCAATAGATACATTGCATTTTCCCAAGTTTTTTAAACAATTGGAAATATTTGCCGAATAACCTCTTGTGACAGGGGGTAGGGAGTATTAGTAGAATAATGTCCTAAAGATTCTCAAAAATTTTCCTATTTGAAAATAATGCGAAAATATTTTGATCAATAATCACACGTCAATCATTTAAATAGTTATACTTTAGTAGAAACACTGTGTTAAATATGCTCTATTGAAAGCATTTCAGTAGAACTTTTAATATGAAAGGATAATAGCAACAATTTAACATTTATAGATACAGATTACAGATAAAAATCCCGCTGAAAGATATACCGGTGTCAGGGTCGGCGCTAGAGTTTATGCCGCCTGGACAAAACGTGCATTTGACACCCCTTATCCCCTAAATAAAACGACAAAAATTTGTTTTAAAATGCCATACCTGTTAGAAGTGGAAAGAAATTTTAATTTCACTTACATTACTACGATGGTTTCACTGTTCCATCATTATTGAAAATTTTCCGTTCTGGGCAAATGTCCAGTTTGCCCATGTGTTAATGCCGGCCCAGACCGGTGTATAACCATTAGGATTTCCTATTAGGCTCACTAGGCCGGACCTAGGGGCGCAAAAATTCAAAATAATAATAACAATAAAAGAATGAAAAAATACCTCACTAATTGTTTCTCACTAATGACTCCATATAAACAATGCTCTCTTCAATGATAATCGCGCCTNAATTTTTTCTCCTGGTTAATTTTAAGTTTATTTATTTATTTATTTATTTTTTGCGACTATTTATGTATTAAATTAATAACCGGTTTAATTTACTTTGCGTATTAATAGAATTTTTAGCTAGAATATTGCATCATTAGCATATTGCAACAAACGTATATCATTATTATTTAGCGAAAACTTATTCGATCATTACTTTTACTAATTATTGTATTTTCAGACTGATGTTGAAATAAGATTATATTTTTATTTTTTGTTGGTTTTTTAATTCTAGATTTTTTTTTGTTCTGTGGGCGCTGAGAATGTCATTTTTTCAATATCCATAGGATCTGATTTAGCCTGAAGATCGCCAATGAAATATTCTTGGATATTCTTTTCCGGATTCGAACCCGGGTCCCCGAGCGAGAAATAGCATTATTATTTATGGTTCCATTTTTAATTATAGAAAAATATTGATGATATTATTATAGCAACTTAACCGCATTCTTAATTTTAATAAAGTAAACGTCTTCGCAACGAAAAGTTTGCAACTATCATCGGTAATTTATTATTCGTTTAATATTATCCAGAATCGTTAGCAATCGGGTAGTTTTGGATACTTGGTCCTCCTCGTTGTCGAAACAAAAGAATCTTAAAGTCTTAATTGTTATTAATTAGATGTTTGATGATTTTAAATTGATTATATTCGGAATTCTTCGGAATTAATTTGATTTTCAGGCGTAATTTTCAAGGAAGTTTCCTTTTGTCTGTTGTTTCAGCGACACGTCATCGGTCAGGAAGAGAACGCCGTACTTAGGAAATTCAAATGTCCCGAATGCGGCAAAGCATTCAAATTTAAACATCACTTAAAGGAACATATACGTATCCATAGCGGAGAAAAACCTTTCGCCTGTTCCAACTGTGGAAAAAGGTTTTCTCATTCGGGATCTTATTCTTCCCACATGACCAGCAAGAAGTGCCTGGTGATGAATCTAAAGGTATTAAAACAATCAATGAATATTTATTTAGGTTAAGGTTTAAAAAATATGTAATATCTGTCTTCGGATAACAATTTTTATATGCTATTTCTAGGTGAAAAAAATGGATAATAAGCCACTTCGTGGTCAAGCTGCTAATCAACAAAACATTGCCTTCCGCCCAATCATTCCGAAATATGGTGCTGCTGCAACAGAAGGTGTCAGTTTGATGCCGCACGGTTACGTGCCTCCGACTGAAAGGTTTCCCAGTTTCTTGCCAAGTTTTCATCCGACCCAACACGCTGGACATCCATCGTTCTTGCCGGCTCCTTATTCTTCTCTTCCCTTCCATCCTCTCCTGGCCGGTCACTTGAATTCCACACTTCCTCCGCCTTCGCTTCCTTTGCATAATTTCCCAGACGTCAGCCAGTTATTACAACCCAGGGGTCAACTCCTGGAGCAGATACCGACATCGAACGAACTTCCGTCTTCCTTGTGTGTTACGACCAACAGCGTTTGTGTGACTCAAAGAAGTCCCATTACTATTACGCCTCCTCCGATAGACATCGAAAGAGACGATCCTCCTGGTAGCCCAGGTAAAAGTAAAAATTTGAACGCTGTGAAAAAGATACTAGAAATAGTCGATGCAACTGTTTCCAGGCAGCAACTGATGACAGGCAGCAGTAAAAATGGTCTAATACCAGACGTGAACTCCTCACCTTTACATGCGCAAGAGAATTCTGTCGGATCGCCCGCTGTTTCGGATGTGGAAAAATTAAGGTGTGGAAACTGTGATTCCGTATTTGAAAATTTAGTCGAGTTGCAGAATCATGAGCGATATCAATGTAGAAAAAGCGAAGATAGTTACAGCGCCTCATCCACTAATAGGGAAGCTGCTTCTAACGAAGACAAAGAGCCGATAGGCGAAGAAAACAACGAAAGCGAAGATAAGCCCAGAAATTCTGAAATTATCAAACTGGTACGCGAACTTGGTTATCCTCGAGTAGTTCAAGCCTGTTTTCCAACAGATCCTCAACAGGCGACTTCTCCTCCCCCTCAGACTTTCTTAAGCCCTTACAATGGTATCGTCAACCTGACTTCCAGATATGACGAAGATCAACCTCTGGATCTCTCCATGAAGTCTAGGTTTCAAACGGCTCCAAACTCGCCTCGCCACATCGAGAACGAAGCCCTGAATCTGAGCAACAGATCTTCTAGAACCTCGACGCCTCTCAAGGATAGCAATAACGGGATCAATGGAGACGAGATCGAAGTGACCGAAGATGTTACCGATGCTAAAAAATTACAGAATGGTGACTACCGTTTGACTAATTCTGTACTGTACAAATACATGCAGAAAGGAAATTATCTTGTGAACCATCGCCAGATGTCTCAGATTATGGTTAAGTGCCGTTCTCCCGAAATCCAGGACGCGAGCTATCCCGATTATCCCTCCTCCACCAATCACGTATCGCCACTTTCCATCTGCAGTTACGACGTAACGCGACCTCCGTCTTCTTCAGACTGTGGTAGTCAAGATGGGATGGAAAGTCCGGGTGCCATCATAGGATTGGACAACTCTTCCGGAGGAGAGCCGGGAAGTCCCAAATGTAGGAAAGTGCAGAAGCGCTCCTGGAAGGTAATAGTGAGTTTACAAAACGTTACGATCTTATACTATTAGGTTAGAAAATGATGTATGCATTTTCATCCGCATAGCTGGAAGGAGAAGAGAGTCAGAGTGCCATCGAGGACAGTCCAGGACCGGAAGATCAAGTGGCAGGAGAGAAGAGAAGGAAATCGTGGAAACAGCACAAACTAGATTCGGAAGAAGGGATGTACGCTTGTGATCAATGCGACAAGATGTTCAGTAAACAAAGCTCTTTGGCTAGGCACAAGTACGAGCACTCCGGTGAGTTAAATACGAATGAAAGCTCTTACCTTTAGTAGATATTTTAAATATTAATAACGTATCTTCTCCTTATTTAGGTCAAAGACCACACAAATGTGATGTATGCAACAAAGCTTTCAAACACAAACATCATCTAACAGAACACAAGAGATTGCATAGCGGCGAGAAACCTTTCCAATGCAAAAAATGCCTGAAGAGATTTTCCCATTCGGGTTCTTATAGTCAGCACATGAATCATCGTTACAGTTACTGCAAACCGTATCAAGAGACTCAACCCATAGACTGTCAATAATAAAAATCTCCAACGATCGACGATCGAGACACCAAGGATCTTGTCATCTAGCTACGTCCGGCTGATATTGGCATTAAAATAGCAGCTCCGAAGTCAGTCCACAGAGGCCAATAAGTGCAAATTTACTATTTACTTTATTTCGAGAAAATTTATTAAGAATTTCTTTCGAGGAAACTTCAGCCAAAGGCTACGAACTTGCTGTGTCCTTTGAGCTATATCCCGAAGAGCATCCTATCTTTACGGATCTTCGAGAAAAGAAGCGCAAGAACGTGCAGGTTAATGTCAGGAAGCAGAAATCTTGTTGAATTTTGAACGAATTTTTATATATTTTAGGTGCCAACAATAATTCGTGTGCCAAAGAATTTTCGAAGAACGAAACGTGTTTGATTTTTCTAAACAAATGGTTCAATTGCTTTTCTTGTTGAAGACGTTTTTTCAAAAGCAGTCGGCCAATTTTTTAGTCATGCAAAATGCCAAAGGTTTTCTTTGAGAATTTCTAGTCTACTCGCAAAATGTTAAAACATTCTTTGGCCAGATTAGTTTATATTTTTTACTGCTGCCAGTATTATTATCCAAACGATTCCTTCGAGAATAAAAAGTAAAAGAACTGAAGTGCCAAAAACTCAAAAAAAAAAACGCAAAAAAATGGTTTTTCCTAATTTGTTGATAAATGGAGTTGAAAATACAAATGAAAATTTTAAGAATAGAGAAATTTTCTATATAATAATGACGATTGATTTTTGTTTGAGTGAATAAAAAGTTGATCGATCGTCATTAATTTTCATGGAAACTCGAAATAATTCTCGGTATATAGTTTATATTCTCATTTAAAAATATAAGAAAAAAAAATATACAATTTTCTAGTCTGTTTTGCATAGCTTGTCCGTATTTACTTCCATGAAAAAGTGCCAATTTAAAGGTAAAATAAATAATAAAAATAATAATAATAAAAAAAACTGTTATAAGAAGAAGAAGAAGAGAAAAAAGCCAATTTTTAATCTTGTATTATCTGCAGTTTTGTGTAGATGGAATATTTAAACATTTTACTGATTGAAAGATTTCCCTAGAAAAGGATTTTCTTTCAAAAACGATAAATCAAGAACCAAGGAAATCAATCTTCTTTAGCTAAAAATTTGCAAACTAATTTCCTTTTTACAATTTCCCGAGAAGAAATGATTTCCTCGCTTTCCAACAACGAACCAGAGAGAGAGGTCGAGGATAGGAAAAAGACAAATGAGAGTTAAGATTTTGCTTTGTTTAAAACCAATCAGTTGCTGTGTACACGTGGCCTCCCCCATCTTTTTTCCTTTTTTCTGTTTTTAGCGATCTATCAAAACAATTCCCAAAACTAGAAATGAGGGAAAGGAGTCGAAAACTTTCGATATAAAGCTTCCTCGCTAACCTCACGTTGATTTTTCTCCAGTTATAATCCTCGTTTACCAACGCAACCGAGGGAATATACCAAACGAAGATGTCTTTCTATAGATGCCAAATGAATAATAAAACAAAAAAATAAATAATAATAAATAAAATTTGAAGCAAAATTTACCCTTTTTCCAATATTCCAGTATGTCCATTTTTTCCCTCTTCGAATTTTCCTCCAGTTATTCAGTCTTATCTTCTATCTCCGCGTGGTGTTGTGCGTGTATATCTTTGTATCGTCTATCCTCGTATATCTTTGTGAAAAAAAAAAAACAAAAAGTTTCAACAAATTTCCGAGGGTATCCATCGACAAAGCTCTCCTCGTCGAAGATAGGTGTGAATTATTCCAATTTCTTTGGTATCTCGTGATGTGTCTTTCTTTCTCTCCCAGGTTCGAGTCTCGGGATGTCTCCTTACATTGTCTAAAATTATAAATTAAAAACAAAACAATTCCAAAAGAAAAACAAAATTTCTAATTAATTAATTAATTTTTTGAGAAAATTAAATTGTTATTGTTGATAATTTTACATTAAAAATCTAAAAAAAAATGCATTTAGTTTCTATGTATACAGTGGATCTGTATATAGATAATATATATATATATATTATTATTATATATTTTCTCGAGTAGATTCTAGTGTTAGGTAATGACAAAATTAAAAATAATATATATATATATATATTCTTAGACAAGTAAGGAGATAGTATGCTACGATCAAGTTTTTTAAAGGAATGGGTGTTAAAATAATTACCTTTCCAATTTACCACTCGTCTTTTGCCTATATTTCGAGTTGAAAATTCCATATATATGCACGAATGTGATGAGGTCTTTCTTGATTCTTTTACGTCCCTCGTAATAACGCAGATTTAAAACAAATCAACTCAAACCCCCCCTTCGCTAATAGATAAACCGGTGCCAAAGATCGTTTGTTTTTTAGAAAAATTTGTATAAAAATTTTTTTTTGGACGTAGAATTATTTTCGATAATTTTATAAAGAATCTCGTTTTTTATTATTATAATAATTATTATTAATATTATTATTATTATAAACTGGAAAACTTGTTTAACTTATTCAACCATCGACTAATTTGCTCGAAATTTTATTATCTGATAATCACTTGATCTCTAGAGGAACAAGTAAAAATATGCATTTTGTTGCAAAATACTTCTATCAAACTCAATAGAAAACTTATTATCTAGGAAGAATTTGATACGAAGAATATCGATAATTCGGGAGTAAAGTAATTAAATTTTATAACTAGATACACATAAATTGATTTTCTTTCTTATTTCTGTCTCGGATATGCTCCGAAAGTTATTAACATCGTATTGGATCTTTAATGACAACATTAATGGTTAATGCATAACAATATATTCGGAAATTCAAATACTATGACAATTAAATAGACTATAAATAAATATATGATAAAATACACCCTCGATTTATCATATTTTATGTAAAATATTATTGAACTTTGTTTAGAAACTTTATGAACTTGTACATATGTTTACACGAAATAAAATTCGATATATAAGACGATGCTTCACCTTCCATTATTTCCTTATTGGAAAATCGATTAATAACATCTTCGTTCTTGGAGATATCAAGTTAATAACGATACACGTCACAAAATAAATCAAAATTTAGTAAATCGATCTATATCTATCTACCTATAAGTATGATAAAAGTAACGAAAGACGTAAGAGGTTTAAGGGAAAAAAATTATTATTAAATTTATCGGTTGAAAAGAAATATGATGGAATAAGAAACGGTGGTTAGAAATGATGACTGTGATTCAATCATTGAATCACAAATGAGATTCAATAAAGTATATCGGCCTAACAATTGAGGATTTTTCAAAATAAGAATTGTTGATTTTTTTCTTCATTTTTTTTTCTGATCCGTTTTCAACTGTTGCTGCTGATGCGGTTGAAAGGAAACGTTGTACGCTTCTGGTTCCTGTTGCTATAGCAACAGAAGATGCGGCGACGCTCCTTTCAACAAGGTGATGGATGACCTTCAATAAAGCAATAGATGACCTTCGCTAAGTCGGTGTCTTTTTATGAAAAGTATGAAAAAAACCCCGAGCTAACGAAAATGTCTTTCAACTTTCTTCATTTTATAAGTAAAAAGTTTCTCACATATTTGAAATAACTTGATGAAAATTTTCAACTTCGTATAAGTTTATCAAAGAATTTGCTTGAAAACAGGAAATTAAAGTAAATATTTTGTTTTCAGTTTTATTGATAATCAATCATTTTTCGAAATTTCACTTCAAACTTCCCCCATTTTTTTTATATATATTTTGAAATTAAAGATTATAAAAAAACTATTATTTTAGTAGAAAATTTTCAATAGGTTATACATCAAAAACAACCAAGTTATAAAGATATATTAATCTTATCTAGATACTATATAGTATTATATTTTTATAAATTATACCTGGCTATTTTAAGAAGAGAAAATAGATAAATCGAATCAGTTCGTGCGAGAAAAAGAAGTAGGAAAAAAAAATAGCATGTTAACAACACAGAAAAATCTCTTCAAGGTTTAATTTGAAAATGGTTTAGAGGCATTTTTTTTTAGATGCTAGACGAAGCAGCAGAACTGGATAATTAGGGATAATGATTTGGAATAATCANCACAAAAAAAAAAGAACACGAATTTCGATTAAAATTCGTTTTATTAGAAACAGAATATTCATAAATTTCCATACATTTTAGATTCAGTCAGAAAAATTAACGCGCATTTTTCTAAAAAAGAAAAAAAATTTCAAAATGGACTGCACAATCACGAAGAGGAAACAGATTGCAAATAACGTACTCGAATTAACAAGAGCACAAACGGGTGCCAACACTTCTTAAACAAACGGTCGATTGCTCATTAATACCCTAAATCAGGTTATTATAAAACAATAGAGAACCCGAGGGAGTACGTTGTGGCCTTCTTTAAAGGCGCGTAAGTAACCGAAGAGAATATTTTTCCCAGAACACAGATTACTAATGACGTCACACAAATCCCTCGATGTACACTTCACAAAGGTTTTTATCGTAAGCTGTACGGTGTACACTTCGGAATTCATTACATTAATTAACCAGATAGTTGGCATCGTAGCCTTAACAAACGGCGCGACATTGTCAACGCCGGTGTCAAAAGTTATTTTACGCCTTGTTTCTTATGCCCCCGCTACAAAACCTGTAACTAAGGTCCAACAACGGAGACGTAATTAAAGATATTAACTAGATATTACCTCGGTTTTTACAACTTTTACTTATTACTTGCTACCTCGTAATCCTTCTTTACGTGGATGACATCTTCGGAAATTCCAAATGACGTCGATTAAAGTGTACAGCTCTTTCTAAGATTACCACTCGCTTCCGACTCCTTTTTTTTTTTTTAAATATAATTCTCGTCTCGTTAAAGATGTAATACTTAATTTCTATATTTGAAAAATCATTTTTTTTCAATCAAAAAGTATTCTAATTACTGTAAAATTAATTAATTCGCTGTTGTTTTTTTTTCTAAGCTAAGGTTTTACGTTCTGGTCGATGTAAAAATATCCTCTTTTCTAACCGATAAATAGTGAATGAGAATTAAATCATGTAAACATTGATTAAAGGTTTTTTTTTTTAAAATTATTTTAATTTTTCCGATGTCCGATTGATCATCCTCGTGCTCCCGATGCTCTTCTGATGCTTAATATCGATACGTTTGTATTGATTTCTATTTAAAATACTTAATTATCGATAAATAAAATGCAAAAAAATATTATTATTTTAATTTTTTTTTTTTATTTTAAAAATTTCGTTCTTACTTTCGAATTTGAATTTTTGAGTAATTTTTCTGTTTTTTTATTGTAGCGCCATCTGTTGAGAATTTCTACAGTTTCTGTTAAAAATAAGAATTTTATTTTAGACTTAAAATCAATGAGCTGAATGATTTTCCTTAAAATAAAAATTGTAATAAATTATAAGAAATTTTTCGAAATTAACGCAGTAAAATAATTTAAAATATTTTAGAAATAATTATCTTAGCTTCATAACCAGAAGATGGGTTTTTTAAAGCAAGTTCTTTTGAGGTGATTTATCTTATACAAAATTACTTTAAAAAATATTAAATGGCTCAGGTAATATATACATCATTTAGAATACATAAAAGCACAATTTTACCTCTGTTGAAAGCATGGTGTGGAACGAAGCCGTTTTACCTGTTTTTAAACAAATGAAACACATAGGAAATGTTTCTTTTTTAATGAATAACAGTCTTAAACATTTTAATTTTTTTTACCAATAGAAAAAAAACATTAATTTATAGGGCACTACGGGTGCCTAAGTTCTCTTCAGACCCGGAGAAAAATCCCAGCTCTTCGTCTCGATGATCTGGCACCTTTGTCATTGTGCTAGACCATATTTGCAAGAACAAAATCTAAATGGTACTATGAGTCTAAGAGTGATCGTTCGAGATATAGCCCCTTCCGAAATCTACCTAACTGGCAATATTATGTACCGTATTGTATGTAGGCAAGCGTGAGTTTTGTGAAAATATCAAACAAAACTAACTATACAAGTAAGATAGTGTTTCATTGATATATAAATTTATAAATTTCACATAAGATGTTGATATATTTTAAATTAATTTCCAAAACGTTCGAGTAAATATATTTATTTCTTAATTTTACACGTTGTTTGATGAATAAGTGTAAAAATCATCGTGTAGTGTAAACATCGTGTAACATTAACTCTGCATTTCATAAATGATGATTTCAGAGTTACCAAGAGATGTCCAAGAATAAAATAAGAATTATACTAATTCATAACTTTGTGGAACTTCCTGCTTCTTATCACATTAGCATTTCTTGAAGAGTTGTTGGATTGAGAAATTCATTGTAAATTAGTTTTTTTAGCATTCGTATAGTTCATGAGACCTCAGTACTGGTATACTGGTAGACGCTTCTCTTCATATTGTAAAACCAATATCACACGATTGAAAAAAATCTTCTATTAATTAATAGTCGAATTAAAATAATTACATATTAAAAAGTAAATTGTCATTAAATAATAATCAAAGTCAAGCTTTTTCAGAAATGTTACATGGTTAGACAATTACTTGCTATCACATGGTCAAAGAAGATAAAGTTGTCATCAATGTAAGTGAAGGGCTTTTCTTCACCATTTATTAAATGATGTGATTACTGATCAGTGGCAATTAATAATTACTGTATTACTTTTCGGATCAACTCGTATATTAACCATCAAACCATGTGTTTCCAAAAGATATACTTGTCAATAGATACATTGCATTTTCCCAAGTTTTTTAAACAATTGGAAATATTTGCCGAATAACCTCTTGTGACAGGGGGTAGGAAGTATTAGTAGAATAATGTCCTAAAGATTCTCAAAAAAATTTCCTATTTGAAAATAATGCGAAAATATTTTGATCAATAATCACACGTCAATCATTTAAATAGTTATACTTTAGTAGAAACACTGTGTTAAATATGCTCTATTGAAAGCATTTCAGTAGAACTTTTAATATGAAAGGATAATAGCAACAATTTAACATTTATAGATACAGATTACAGATAAAAATCCCGCTGAAAGATATACCGGTGTCAGGGTCGGCGCTAGAGTTTATGCCGCCTGGACAAAACGTGCATTTGACACCCCTTATCCCCTAAATAAAACGACAAAAATTTGTTTTAAAATGCCATACCTGTTAGAAGTGGAAAGAAATTTTAATTTCACTTACATTACTACGATGGTTTCACTGTTCCATCATTATTGAAAATTTTCCGTTCTGGGCAAATGTCCAGTTTGCCCATGTGTTAATGCCGGCCCAGACCGGTGTATAACCATTAGGATTTCCTATTAGGCTCACTAGGCCGGACCTAGGGGCGCAAAAATTCAAAATAATAATAACAATAAAAGAATGAAAAAATACCTCACTAATTGTTTCTCACTAATGACTCCATATAAACAATGCTCTCTTCAATGATAATCGCCGCCAAGAAGTCTTTCTTCAAGATAATCGCGCCTGTTTTCAGGAACGTTGCCGCGATAAAATTCAACGAACCACTCGTAGACCGTTTTTGTGAAAAAAAAAAAAAAACATTTGGGAAAGCGTCTTGTAATAGTTAAGGCATTCCTGGTGATTAAGTCGTAAAATATCATGGCATGAAAATAATCGCATATCATTTTCTTTTTCTCTGCCAATTCAATATACAAATTATTATGAGAAAAAGACTTGAGTTTTACGGATACAAACGGAAAGCCATATATCAGTGTCGTTATGAGCTTGGCCAAACTAATAATGGACTTACTAAAAGAGGCCCTTTTAGTGCCCATAGGGCAGTAAAAGGGCCTCTTTATATCCGAGACAGATCCTATCGCTCTCAGAAACCCGGGATCGAATCCGGGTAAGTTGAAAAATCCCAGCAATTTTTCGGGAGTGATCTGTTTCGGATATGTCGGCCCTCACCATTGGGTCGCCTTATTGTCGTCCTGACCGAATCCACGATCAGCCTGAAAAAAAGACTCTTGTAAGCTGAATTTACATAAACTTTAAGCAGCTGCATCGTGTCGTGCTCAAACCCATATTGTCGGCGGCTTAAACATTACATTATGAGAATTCGAGAGGATTCCGACTTCTCAGTCTACTATGCAAAACTAATCGAGAAAGCTTGCGAGCATGTGTTTTTGTTAATGAGAAGTCGCTCAAAAATTTGTTTATTTTTGAAAAAAAAAATTGATATATGAGTTACTTTAATATTAGCGAGGTGGCTGCCAACGTTTTCAACGCGAAAACGTGTACGTCGGACGTTTAGCGCCGTCTTCCTGTAAGCATAGAAGTTTGACAATGGCGTCTGGAACGTCAAGCATGATTCCACTGACGTTCCAAACGCCATTGTCAAACTTCTAGGCTTACAGGAAGACGGCGCTAAACGTATGACGTAAGCGTTTTCGCGTTGAAAACATCGGCCGCAACCTCTCTATTAACTTTATTCACTTATAAGAAATATGTTCTCTAATTGAGGCATGGTAATTATCCAAACAATGCCACCCGAGTGCCTCGAAATCGATATTCAGTACTTTATAAAAAAGCTCGCGAAGACTCACCGTGTACTTGATTTTTAGTGTACCTGTCGTTTAGAGGTAGAATGCCAGGCATACCTAGTCGATACAGTCAAAGACATTACGCACAGCTGACGGAGTTTGAGAAAGTCATATCATTAGGCTGAAGAATGCAGGATGACCGTTTCTCAAAATTTCCATCGATCTGGGCAATTCTGGTCTAATTGTGTGGCAATATGGGACAGTGAATACATGAGAACACATACATGAAAGAAAAAAAAAGAAAGCATGAAGAGTATTAACTGACAGCACATTAGATTTAGTAACAAATCAATCCCAACTACGTTATTTTGTGGCAAACCACTGGTGACAGCTTTAATCCCGATTTACTGTTGAGCGACACACTGTCCACTGCTTGAGAGCCAGTCAAAGAGCCATGTATTACAGACCGTTATCCCTATTAGCAGTACGGGAGATATAGATACATCAGCAAGAACAGAAAAATTAAAAACGTTAACAAATTATCAGTAATCAGCAGAGTACAACTCTCCACTTGTGTTTTTATTTGCATAAAATTTCAGGAAAATCAACTCTTTCTGTCTTCCTTAATCAAAATATCGCCGGCCGAGCGGTCAAGGTGGTAGCCTACCGTTTTGGGAGATTCGACATAGAATTCGGACGGTTCGAAAATCTCCATGAATTTTTCGGGGGGGTCCGTCCGGATATATCTCTCACCGCTCGGCCGCCCAATTGTGGATCTGGCCGAACCCATAATAGGTTTGCTAAAAGAGGCCCTCTTAGTGCCCACAGGGCGGAAAGAAAAATAAAAATATCAAAATATCACCAAATACTCATGAAAGGTACTAAAGACTTTTTTAAATTGCATCATTTTCCACAAGAAATTTTCCTTCATTACACTTCACGATATTGCAAACACGTATTACTGTAGTCATTAATAGATTTTGATTCGATTTTAACGTCTCCTTCTTCTTGGCGCTAACTTTTTTTCAAGGAATGTACCAAAAAGTTTCCACTTTTGAAAAAAATTTGGGCTAATTTTGAGCTATGACGTCAATTAAACGTAAACCATCTGGCAGTTTGACGAAAGGTTTATGTTAGTGGTCAACGCATTTTGTCATAAGTCGTGTTTATTAGAAATTAGGTTATAATCGAAGCGAATAATATAATATAATATAAAAATGGCTCCAGTGGTCGAGGTTCAAAGTGAAGCGGTGGAGGAAAAAGAGACGGTAAAGGAGACACCGTCCAAATTGACAATTGGAATTATTTATCCCCCTCCAGAAATGAGAAGTATCCTTTTTATCTATTCCTCACTTCAATTGCACTTACAAAAAGTTCCCAAATAATACTTAAAACAAAAGACACATAATATAAAATGTATTAATAAATTAACTCATATTTCCTAATATCAATAAACAAAATGTATAGAATTAGAAAATTGATATCAATAATAATAACATTAAGTTAAATCTTGTCCAGTACTTGCATCAAACTTGAACATTTTATACAATTTACTTTTTGTATAAGTGTATGCTTATACTAAATGAAAACTTTTATTAATTGGAAAATGGTTAATTGAGATTTCATATTAGTAAAGTGTGCGAAGTGTACACTTGAATCCATAAAATAATATGATAAGCTTTTTGATAAAAGGTGATGATTAGTATTGGTAATAAATTATTGGTTCTGTCTATTTGTTAATATTAGCACTGATTTTGCATCGTTTTATTTCTGAAAATATTTTGTGTTTATAATATATGTAGATTTAATAATTGGCGTCAACGTTGAGTTAATTAAATATATGTAGTTTTAGTTAGTTTTGAGCGACGAAATATACAAAGATCAAAATAAAATGAATTCTTTAGAACATATTTGAATTGCATAATTCAAATATATTTTATGTACAAAGTTGATATAAAAGTAAATTAAATAGATAAATTATTTTAGATTAGTATTTTTTTGAATTTTAAAATTAAGTTTTTACAATATTTTAGATTTTGTCTACTCTGTACGTAACTTATGTAACATATAAAATTTATATACTTGGTTTGGAATTTTACAGTGAGAATTATGCAATAATTTCACAAAAATATGAAATATTGACAAGTGAGATATGTGTATGGCAGTGATAAAATGCAATGTGCCTGATGTATATACCTGATGATGTCCAAATCACTGAGAGATGTTGCTGCGGTAGTCGTTTGAAATGACTGGCCTAAGTAATGTTTTGAATATTGAATGACGTTCTTGGCTAAAGATTGAAGTGGCTCGGAGTTTAATGGTGAAAGAATATTACAAAGGTTTTCGCAAAGTTTGTGGCGATGATGGTCTACTGCAAAAAACTGTTGCAAGATATTATATGATGGTTTGGAAGAGGATGAGAAATAAATGAGTGATAACGTGTGGTTGGGAAGACCACCTGTGGATGAATGATAGTTGGAATTGGTGGTATTGCTGCTAAAAGGAGACAGAAAGTGGGAAGTTTGAGAACTTGCTGCTAAAGTTGGACTGGCACACACAACAGTTCTACATTTCTTAAAGATCAAATTACAAAGATGAGGAAAATTGAGCTTGTTGGGTTCCTTGTCATTTGACTGAACAGCAAAAATGGCACTACTATGAAGTTGCAAAATTGCATGTTGAACATTATGAAAGGGAAGGAGATGCATTCACATACCACATTTTGTGGGAATGCTTTAAATCAAGAGAAAAAGTTATTTTTGCACAAGACTGTGGCGTGACAGACATCAGTAAAACTAAGTTTGATGACAGCAGTAAATATTTACCAAATCTATGGTAATCAATCCTAAGATGGGTGGACTATATTGAAGGAATGAAAATAACATGTATCTCAAATAAAATGTATAGTAAATACTGCTCTTTTAGCTTTGTTTGTAGTGAACAGGATGTGGCACCAATATATCCTAAATTGACACCAAATCTTTTATTTTCAAATGGAATACTGTATATTCCTGCGGTGTGATTTGTCCAAATAGAAATAGTCTGAACACTGAGGTTATAACCTGGTTGTAATACTCTTTGTTATTTCTTTATGGATATTCTCAAAATCCTTGTTTGTTCCATGCCTAGGTTATTGTTGATCTTGTATGAAAATTCATTGATTAACTGCTGAACTTTCTAAGTTAACCATGCTGAGTAACTTTTCTAATGTATGATGATTATGTTTGGAAATTGAGAATGTCAGAACAGTGTGTGTGAATGTACATCTTATTAGTGTGATAAATGCAGAAAGTTTAAAGCATAAACTTATTGATGAACTTGAAAAAATGTGAATAATGCTATCAAACAATAAAATAATAATTTAAAAATATCTTTTGCTTAATTGGGCCTTTTAATGAACACACCTTTTACAGCATTTTTGTTAAAGCTAAATTAAGAACAAGAAAATGTTCTTAATTTTTCATACACCATGAAGTATTGATATTACTGCTGGACGTATTACTGCTAACTTGGAAATATTACTGCTTGTGTAATATATAAGGAGGAAAGTTTATTTGATTATTGGTATATAAATATTTTTTATTATAAAAATTGTTATATATATTTTATCTTGTAAATTTGTGTCAAAAATTTTACCTACCTGCTGATGAGGAATAGAAAATATTTGAAATGCATTTGAGCATAATGAAAAGAAAAACAGAAATAATCTAGAAGTTTTTTCTTTCTTCCGTACTACAAGTATAATAAATCCCGATTAAAAGAATATGCCCAAGTTTTTTAAGCAAATTAATTAATTAAGGTCAAGAAGCTTACTTTACAAATAAAATAATAAACTTTTTTTTATCTTCTCTAAGAAAACTATATGTAATTGTTTATTAAAATTTTAAAAAATTTGAAATATATCTTATTCATAGATGTTATTGATATCACATCTAGCTATGGAACTTGTCAATCTAAAGATCGTCACCTATGCAGATTGAAAATGTTAGTTTTATTAAATACTTATCGGAAGTAATTCAAGGTTAATTGTTATGGTTTCTATTTTATGTATTGCATTGAAAATAATTTATAATTTGACTTTTACCTTTGACCTGAATTAATCTTTCTTAAAATAAACTTAATAATCAAAATTTTCAGTTCAGTAAAAAAATTGTTCTAAGAACTATAGAATAAAAGATGCTGAAAGACTTATTAACATAAAATTATTGAATATTATCCTTCATCTACACTCAGATATTGTTGATAAAACTGCAAGTTTCGTTGCAAGAAATGGTAAGAATTATATAAATTAAAGTTCAAAAAATTGTTTTTTACGCAGTCTTAAATAATAATTTAAAATATATTCTGTTTTCTTAGGTCCGGAATTTGAAGCACGTATTCGTCAAAATGAAATTAACAACAAAAAATTTAATTTTCTAAACAGTGGTGATCCTTACCATGCATATTACCAGCATAAAGTTAAAGAGTTCAAAGAAGGCAGAGCAGGTAAGTGGTCAATGAATTAATGATAATGAAGTAATTACTTCCAAAGACTGAAATAAAGAGAATGAGAAGTAATAGAATACTTAGTAATGATTATTTGTATTATAAAATATTGAATTTTTTCAGTTGCAGAACCTGCTGTTGCTCCTCAGCCTACTACCAAAGTAACATTATTTTTAATGAATTTTTATGTATTAATATTATTTCATGATTAAAGTCTAAAATTTATTTTTACAATAGCCTACTGCGTCTGTTCCAAAACCTCCTGAGATCGCTAAAATTACAGAATTGCCTGTTATTCCCAAAGAACCACCTCCAGAATTTGAGTTTATTAATGATCCACCATCAATATCAGCTCTTGATCTGTAAGTAATCTGCATAAGTATGAATTTTTATTAGTTTATTTTTTTAATTACAGGTTGCCATAATATAAAGTTCTATTTTCTAATTAAGGATTACTTAATTTTAGTGTTATATAATCTTAGTATAAAATGTAAAAGGTAATGTTACCGTAGGTTAGGTTAATAATATCTTCAAGAAACAGGAACATTCAATCAGTTTGTAGATGCTAAAATTTTAGCAGATATTTTAAACACTATATTGCAGAATTCTAAAGAGATTTAAAATGTTATTATTTACTACATTCACTGTAGTATTATTCACTATTTTTAGAGATGTATATGGTAAAAGATAATGTAATTCTAGGCAAAGTGAAAATGTTATTTTATCACGCTGAAATAAAAAAAATTTTTGCAAGCAGAAAACAAACTTTGTTTAAGTAAACAAATTAACAAATACAAAAGATTAAACTTTTGATGTTACACACAATCATATTTTTACAATACAAAACAAAAAAATGATTTCTTTTAATTAAAGTAAGCATTGTAATCATATACATTAAATATTGTCAAGAGATTTCCATGATATTTTCAGAACAGATAAGATGATATAATTCATTTGTTTAATTATTTTGAAACTATTGATCAGGAAATTATAATTTAATAAAAGTTTATTTTATTANGAAGAAGATAAAAAAAATTGTTGACTAGTTTTTAAAATACTAGCCTTCATTTTATACCAAATATCAAATACGTGCAATAAAAAATAAATAATAATAATTACGATGTACGATAATATTTGTATTTAGTCAAAAAAGACCAGTTTAAGTGTTTGTGTCTATTTTTTATTGTCACAGAATGATTTTTAATAATGTCTCTATTACTCTATATGATACAAACTCAATGTGATGTTCTCCCTCATGGTCTGACCGATCACTTAGAAGTGTTAGTACCACACCTTACAGTGCCAAAAAAAAAAAAAAAAAAAGAAAATACAGCTTTTTTGGTGAGTTTTGCAGACAGAGAAAAACCACCAAATGCACAGATCGTAGAATTCACAGAATAGCAAAAAAAAAAAAAAAAAAAAATTCAACACGTTGTTATGCCGAGAGGTTGGCCCGCAGGCGATGACGAGGAGAAAAACCAGTTGTTTAAAATAAATACTCACCCTCCTCCGCCGAGCATCCTCTCGATTACGTGCCAATTTAAAGGCCCATCCAATCCTTAATCTCGTGGCAGATATACAGACATCTCTATGCTTAACGGCATTTTGTTGAGACATATTTATGCAACTATTTATTTCCATGTATTTTTTCAAAGGATAATAAAAACTACTATAAAACTACATTTTAAGGTGGTTTTACTTATGAAATCGTATCCGTTCTGTTTTCAGCACGAAGATCTTTGATATCACAAGTGAAGGTACATTTTCGCTTGCATCCTTTGTTGTTGAAAGAATATTCAAATTGATTCCTTCACAAGTGAAGTGAAGTAGAAAGGAACACGTGCAAATGTACATGTTCACGTTTCACACCAACAATATTCGATGTGTTGTAGAGTCTCTCCCTTCCTTTGAAAAGCAGATATATCCCAATTTAAGTAATATTTTTACATATTTGTATGTTTCAGCATTAAATATACCTATAAAACTTTTAAATTTATATATAAAAAAACATATTAATTTATAAAAATCAAAAAAATTATTATTCTCTCTACAAAAGTTCCATATTGAAATCTGATTCGCGCTTCAATACAATAACGCACACAAAAAAAAAGAACACGAATTTCGATTAAAATTCGTTTTATTAGAAACAGAATATTCATAAATTTCCATACATTTTAGATTCAGTCAGAAAAATGAACGCGCATTTTTCTAAAAAAGAAAAAAAATTTCAAAATAGACTGCACAATCACGAAGAGGAAACAGATTGCAAATAACGTACTCGAATTAACAAGAGCACAAACGGGTGCCAACACTTCTTAAACAAACGGTCGATTGCTCATTAATACCCTAAATCAGGTTATTATAAAACAATAGAGAACCCGAGGGAGTACGTTGTGGCCTTCTTTAAAGGCGCGTAAGTAACCGAAGAGAATATTTTTCCCAGAACACAGATTACTAATGACGTCACACAAATCCCTCGATGTACACTTCACAAAGGTTTTTATCGTAAGCNAAAAAAAAAAAAAAAAAAAAATTCAACACGTTGTTATGCCGAGAGGTTGGCCCGCAGGCGATGACGAGGAGAAAAACCAGTTGTTTAAAATAAATACTCACCCTCCTCCGCCGAGCATCCTCTCGATTACGTGCCAATTTAAAGGCCCATCCAATCCTTAATCTCGTGGCAGATATACAGACATCTCTATGCTTAACGGCATTTTGTTGAGACATATTTATGCAACTATTTATTTCCATGTATTTTTTCAAAGGATAATAAAAACTACTATAAAACTACATTTTAAGGTGGTTTTACTTATGAAATCGTATCCGTTCTGTTTTCAGCACGAAGATCTTTGATATCACAAGTGAAGGTACATTTTCGCTTGCATCCTTTGTTGTTGAAAGAATATTCAAATTGATTCCTTCACAAGTGAAGTGAAGTAGAAAGGAACACGTGCAAATGTACATGTTCACGTTTCACACCAACAATATTCGATGTGTTGTAGAGTCTCTCCCTTCCTTTGAAAAGCAGATATATCCCAATTTAAGTAATATTTTTACATATTTGTATGTTTCAGCATTAAATATACCTATAAAACTTTTAAATTTATATATAAAAAAACATATTAATTTATAAAAATCAAAAAAATTATTATTCTCTCTACAAAAGTTCCATATTGAAATCTGATTCGCGCTTCAATACAATAACGCACACAAAAAAAAAAGAACACGAATTTCGATTAAAATTCGTTTTATTAGAAACAGAATATTCATAAATTTCCATACATTTTAGATTCAGTCAGAAAAATGAACGCGCATTTTTCTAAAAAAGAAAAAAAATTTCAAAATAGACTGCACAATCACGAAGAGGAAACAGATTGCAAATAACGTACTCGAATTAACAAGAGCACAAACGGGTGCCAACACTTCTTAAACAAACGGTCGATTGCTCATTAATACCCTAAATCAGGTTATTATAAAACAATAGAGAACCCGAGGGAGTACGTTGTGGCCTTCTTTAAAGGCGCGTAAGTAACCGAAGAGAATATTTTTCCCAGAACACAGATTACTAATGACGTCACACAAATCCCTCGATGTACACTTCACAAAGGTTTTTATCGTAAGCTGTACGGTGTACACTTCGGAATTCATTACATTAATTAACCAGATAGTTGGCATCGTAGCCTTAACAAACGGCGCGACATTGTCAACGCCGGTGTCAAAAGTTATTTTACGCCTTGTTTCTTATGCCCCCGCTACAAAACCTGTAACTAAGGTCCAACAACGGAGACGTAATTAAAGATATTAACTAGATATTACCTCGGTTTTTACAACTTTTACTTATTACTTGCTACCTCGTAATCCTTCTTTACGTGGATGACATCTTCGGAAATTCCAAATGACGTCGATTAAAGTGTACAGCTCTTTCTAAGATTACCACTCGCTTCCGACTCCTTTTTTTTTTTTTAAATATAATTCTCGTCTCGTTAAAGATGTAATACTTAATTTCTATATTTGAAAAATCATTTTTTTTCAATCAAAAAGTATTCTAATTACTGTAAAATTAATTAATTCGCTGTTGTTTTTTTTTCTAAGCTAAGGTTTTACGTTCTGGTCGATGTAAAAATATCCTCTTTTCTAACCGANTATCGATATGTAACTTTATACTAATAATGTACTACTCCGCCGTCTTTTGTTTACTTACAATATGTTAAGCGGTTTCTTCATCTGCGAAATATATTTTGATAAATAATGTGCATATATCTCTCAGCTATGTATTAAACGGTACTGAGAATGCACCTACAGGGTGTTTAATAAAAGAATTGAATTGAAAAACTTTAAGCAGCTGCATCGTGTCGTGCTCAAACCCATATTGTCGGCGGCTTAAACATTACATTATGAGAATTCGAGAGGATTCCGACTTCTCAGTCTACTATGCAAAACTAATCGAGAAAGCTTGCGAGCATGATGAGAAGTCGCTCAAAAATTTGTTTATTTTTGAAAAAAAATTGATATATGAGTTACTTTAATATTAGCGAGGTGGCTGCCAACGTTTTCAACGCGAAAACGTGTACGTCGGACGTTTAGCGCCGTCTTCCTGTAAGCATAGAAGTTTGACAATGGCGTCTGGAACGTCAAGCATGATTCCACTGACGTTCCAAACGCCATTGTCAAACTTCTAGGCTTACAGGAAGACGGCGCTAAACGTATGACGTAAGCGTTTTCGCGTTGAAAACATCGGCCGCAACCTCTCTATTAACTTTATTCACTTATAAGAAATATGTTCTCTAATTGAGGCATGGTAATTATCCAAACAATGCCACCCGAGTGCCTCGAAATCGATATTCAGTACTTTATAAAAAAGCTCGCGAAGACTCACCGTGTACTTGATTTTTAGTGTACCTGTCGTTTAGAGGTAGAATGCCAGGCATACCTAGTCGATACAGTCAAAGACATTACGCACAGCTGACGGAGTTTGAGAAAGTCATATCATTAGGCTGAAGAATGCAGGATGACCGTTTCTCAAAATTTCCATCGATCTGGGCAATTCTGGTCTAATTGTGTGGCAATATGGGACAGTGAATACATGAGAACACATACATGAAAGAAAAAAAAAGAAAGCATGAAGAGTATTAACTGACAGCACATTAGATTTAGTAACAAATCAATCCCAACTACGTTATTTTGTGGCAAACCACTGGTGACAGCTTTAATCCCGATTTACTGTTGAGCGACACACTGTCCACTGCTTGAGAGCCAGTCAAAGAGCCATGTATTACAGACCGTTATCCCTATTAGCAGTACGGGAGATATAGATACATCAGCAAGAACAGAAAAATTAAAAACGTTAACAAATTATCAGTAATCAGCAGAGTACAACTCTCCACTTGTGTTTTTATTTGCATAAAATTTCAGGAAAATCAACTCTTTCTGTCTTCCTTAATCAAAATATCGCCGGCCGAGCGGTCAAGGTGGTAGCCTACCGTTTTGGGAGATTCGACATAGAATTCGGACGGTTCGAAAATCTCCATGAATTTTTCGGGGGGGTCCGTCCGGATATATCTCTCACCGCTCGGCCGCCCAATTGTGGATCTGGCCGAACCCATAATAGGTTTGCTAAAAGAGGTCCTCTTAGTGCCCACAGGGCGGAAAGAAAAATAAAAATATCAAAATATCACCAAATACTCATGAAAGGTACTAAAGACTTTTTTAAATTGCATCATTTTCCACAAGAAATTTTCCTTCATTACACTTCACGATATTGCAAACACGTATTACTGTAGTCATTAATAGATTTTGATTCGATTTTAACGTCTCCTTCTTCTTGGCGCTAACTTTTTTTCAAGGAATGTACCAAAAAGTTTCCACTTTTGAAAAAAATTTGGGCTAATTTTGAGCTATGACGTCAATTAAACGTAAACCATCTGGCAGTTTGACGAAAGGTTTATGTTAGTGGTCAATGCATTTTGTCATAAGTCGTGTTTATTAGAAATTAGGTTATAATCGAAGCGAATAATATAATATAATATAAAAATGGCTCCAGTGGTCGAGGTTCAAAGTGAAGCGGTGGAGGAAAAAGAGACGGTAAAGGAGACACCGTCCAAATTGACAATTGGAATTATTTATCCCCCTCCAGAAATGAGAAGTATCCTTTTTATCTATTCCTCACTTCAATTGCACTTACAAAAAGTTCCCAAATAATACTTAAAACAAAAGACACATAATATAAAATGTATTAATAAATTAACTCATATTTCCTAATATCAATAAACAAAATGTATAGAATTAGAAAATTGATATCAATAATAATAACATTAAGTTAAATCTTGTCCAGTACTTGCATCAAACTTGAACATTTTATACAATTTACTTTTTGTATAAGTGTATGCTTATACTAAATGAAAACTTTTATTAATTGGAAAATGGTTAATTGAGATTTCATATTAGTAAAGTGTGCGAAGTGTACACTTGAATCCATAAAATAATATGATAAGCTTTTTGATAAAAGGTGATGATTAGTATTGGTAATAAATTATTGGTTCTGTCTATTTGTTAATATTAGCACTGATTTTGCATCGTTTTATTTCTGAAAATATTTTGTGTTTATAATATATGTAGATTTAATAATTGGCGTCAACGTTGAGTTAATTAAATATATGTAGTTTTAGTTAGTTTTGAGCGACGAAATATACAAAGATCAAAATAAAATGAATTCTTTAGAACATATTTGAATTGCATAATTCAAATATATTTTATGTACAAAGTTGATATAAAAGTAAATTAAATAGATAAATTATTTTAGATTAGTATTTTTTTGAATTTTAAAATTAAGTTTTTACAATATTTTAGATTTTGTCTACTCTGTACGTAACTTATGTAACATATAAAATTTATATACTTGGTTTGGAATTTTACAGTGAGAATTATGCAATAATTTCACAAAAATATGAAATATTGACAAGTGAGATATGTGTATGGCAGTGATAAAATGCAATGTGCCTGATGTATATACCTGATGATGTCCAAATCACTGAGAGATGTTGCTGCGGTAGTCGTTTGAAATGACTGGCCTAAGTAATGTTTTGAATATTGAATGACGTTCTTGGCTAAAGATTGAAGTGGCTCGGAGTTTAATGGTGAAAGAATATTACAAAGGTTTTCGCAAAGTTTGTGGCGATGAGGGTCTACTGCAAAAAACTGTTGCAAGATATTATATGATGGTTTGGAAGAGGATGAGAAATAAATGAGTGATAACGTGTGGTTGGGAAGACCACCTGTGGATGAATGATAGTTGGAATTGGTGGTATTGCTGCTAAAAGGAGACAGAAAGTGGGAAGTTTGAGAACTTGCTGCTAAAGTTGGACTGGCACACACAACAGTTCTACATTTCTTAAAGATCAAATTACAAAGATGAGGAAAATTGAGCTTGTTGGGTTCCTTGTCATTTGACTGAACAGCAAAAATGGCACTACTATGAAGTTGCAAAATTGCATGTTGAACATTATGAAAGGGAAGGAGATGCATTCACATACCACATTTTGTGGGAATGCTTTAAATCAAGAGAAAAAGTTATTTTTGCACAAGACTGTGGCGTGACAGACATCAGTAAAACTAAGTTTGATGACAGCAGTAAATATTTACCAAATCTATGGTAATCAATCCTAAGATGGGTGGACTATATTGAAGGAATGAAAATAACATGTATCTCAAATAAAATGTATAGTAAATACTGCTCTTTTAGCTTTGTTTGTAGTGAACAGGATGTGGCACCAATATATCCTAAATTGACACCAAATCTTTTATTTTCAAATGGAATACTGTATATTCCTGCGGTGTGATTTGTCCAAATAGAAATAGTCTGAACACTGAGGTTATAACCTGGTTGTAATACTCTTTGTTATTTCTTTATGGATATTCTCAAAATCCTTGTTTGTTCCATGCCTAGGTTATTGTTGATCTTGTATGAAAATTCATTGATTAACTGCTGAACTTTCTAAGTTAACCATGCTGAGTAACTTTTCTAATGTATGATGATTATGTTTGGAAATTGAGAATGTCAGAACAGTGTGTGTGAATGTACATCTTATTAGTGTGATAAATGCAGAAAGTTTAAAGCATAAACTTATTGATGAACTTGAAAAAATGTGAATAATGCTATCAAACAATAAAATAATAATTTAAAAATATCTTTTGCTTAATTGGGCCTTTTAATGAACACACCTTTTACAGCATTTTTGTTAAAGCTAAATTAAGAACAAGAAAATGTTCTTAATTTTTCATACACCATGAAGTATTGATATTACTGCTGGACGTATTACTGCTAACTTGGAAATATTACTGCTTGTGTAATATATAAGGAGGAAAGTTTATTTGATTATTGGTATATAAATATTTTTTATTATAAAAATTGTTATATATATTTTATCTTGTAAATTTGTGTCAAAAATTTTACCTACCTGCTGATGAGGAATAGAAAATATTTGAAATGCATTTGAGCATAATGAAAAGAAAAACAGAAATAATCTAGAAGTTTTTTCTTTCTTCCGTACTACAAGTATAATAAATCCCGATTAAAAGAATATGCCCAAGTTTTTTAAGCAAATTAATTAATTAAGGTCAAGAAGCTTACTTTACAAATAAAATAATAAACTTTTTTTTATCTTCTCTAAGAAAACTATATGTAATTGTTTATTAAAATTTTAAAAAATTTGAAATATATCTTATTCATAGATGTTATTGATATCACATCTAGCTATGGAACTTGTCAATCTAAAGATCGTCACCTATGCAGATTGAAAATGTTAGTTTTATTAAATACTTATCGGAAGTAATTCAAGGTTAATTGTTATGGTTTCTATTTTATGTATTGCATTGAAAATAATTTATAATTTGACTTTTACCTTTGACCTGAATTAATCTTTCTTAAAATAAACTTAATAATCAAAATTTTCAGTTCAGTAAAAAAATTGTTCTAAGAACTATAGAATAAAAGATGCTGAAAGACTTATTAACATAAAATTATTGAATATTATCCTTCATCTACACTCAGATATTGTTGATAAAACTGCAAGTTTTGTTGCAAGAAATGGTAAGAATTATATAAATTAAAGTTCAAAAAATTGTTTTTTACGCAGTCTTAAATAATAATTTAAAATTTATTCTGTTTTCTTAGGTCCGGAATTTGAAGCACGTATTCGTCAAAATGAAATTAACAACAAAAAATTTAATTTTCTAAACAGTGGTGACCCTTACCATGCATATTACCAGCATAAAGTTAAAGAGTTCAAAGAAGGCAGAGCGGGTAAGTGGTCAATGAATTAATGATAATGAAGTAATTACTTCCAAAGACTGAAATAAAGAGAACAAGAAGCAATAGAATACTTATTAATGATTATTTGTATTATAAAATATTGAATTTTTTCAGTTGCAGAACCTGCTGTTGCTCCTCAGCCTACTACCAAAGTAACAATATTTTTAATGAATTTTTATGTATTAATATTATTTCATGATTAAAGTCTAAAATTTATTTTTACAATAGCCTACTGCATCTGTTCCAAAACCTCCTGAGATCGCTAAAATTACAGAATTGCCCGTTATTCCCAAAGAACCACCTCCAGAATTTGAGTTTATTAATGATCCACCATCAATATCAGCTCTTGATCTGTAAGTAATCTGCGTAAATATGAATTTTTATTAGTTTATTTTTTTAATTACAAGTTACAAAATTCAATCAGTTTGTAGATGCTAAAATTTTAGCAGATATTTTAAACACTATATTGCAGAATTCTAAAGAGATTTAAAATGTTATTATTTACTACATTCACTGTAGTATTATTCACTATTTTTAGAGATGTATATGGTAAAAGATAATGTAATTCTAGGCAAAGTGAAAATGTTATTTTATCACGCTGAAATAAAAAACATTTTTGCAAGCAGAAAACAAACTTTGTTTAAGTAAACAAATTAACAAATACAAAAGATTAAACTTTTGATGTTACACACAATCATATTTTTACAATACAAAACAAAAAAATGATTTCTTTTAATTAAAGTAAGCATTGTAATCATATACATTAAATATTGTCAAGAGATTTCCATAATATTTTCAGAACAGATAAGATGATATAATTCATTTGTTTAATTATTTTGAAACTATTGATCAGGAAATTATAATTTAATAATAAAAGTTTATTTTATTACAGTAAACAGTTACAAATATCTAAATAAATAATTGATATACATATATCCCTTGTTTAATATGGTAGTTAGGTTCCAAAAAGTTCCATGTTATGCAAATTTATGCTATATGAAACAAAGGACTAGTACAAAACATAGGGCTAGATTCCAAAATTTAGCAAAAGTATATTATTTTTTTTTTTCAAAATTAAGAGATATGTTGAAGCAATCAATAATTAAAAAACAATCACAATAAAAAGTATTGTGCATTAATATTAATTTTTTCTTCACTGCTGAGCACTAATAAACAAGAATGTTTTCTTTTTGGGAAAATATTTTCTCAGCTTTCCTGTTGACCTTAATCTGAAGTATCCGTAACATCTAGATTTTTCTCTACATTTTTCATAAAATTGATATTTTCATTTGCTTGCATTTGCCTAAGAGATCTTTAAAAATTTAATCTTTTTATATTGTAAATTTTAGTGTAATCTATAAAAACAAAATTTCAAATAACTTGTAATTATTTTGGAGAAATGATTATTAAAAATTGTCAATCAAAAAATATGACAGTATAACAGAAAAAAAAATATTATTAAAATATTATATAAAAAGATTGGAATTTGTGATGCAGAAATAAATGAAGAATGATGTTTTAGATGCATTTGTTTTGTCTTACTATAAATATATAGGATATATAAATGTATTTGAGCTAAAATAAGGTATCTGTACACATGTTTAAACAATTTTAGAACTTGTATAGATTTACTCATATTCTAAAAAACTCTAATTATTGCTGGATTGTAAGAAATGAATTGAAAATATTTATTGAGAAATATGCAGTTTCTTACACTTTGATTTTAATTTTATATTTTATTATTATAATTTATTATAAAATTTTGATTTAATATTTTTTTTATTTAGGGATGTTGTGAAATTTACAGCACAGTTTGTTGCTCGTAACGGACGTCAGTTTTTGATGAATCTTATGAATCGTGAACAGAGAAATTATCAATTTGATTTTCTAAGACCCCAGCACAGTCTTTTCAATTACTTCAAAAGCTTGCTTGAACAATATACAAAGGTAAAATTTTTGAATATTAGATAGAAATATTGTATTTACATGTGTAATCTTGTATTCAATATCATTCATGAAGAGCAAAAATAAAAACTTTTACTATTTACTAGAGTATTTAATAAATGAATTTTCTGTAGATATTTAGATAAATATATTTGGAGAATTTTGAAAATTAGATAATTTAGTGTGTATTAAAAGATAAACAGCAATAGAAATAATAAAAGTTAAACTAATTAACTTTTTGGAAACTAAACTTAAAATCAATATCTTTTTACTGCCAAAATACTTTCAAGCCAACTAGACTCATCTTCAGGGGCTAAAAATAATAATTTAAACAAATTTCTCTTCCAATATAATGAAGCTAAATTGACTCCATTTAATCATGTCTTTCATATCTTGACAAAAATGTTTGAATAGAAGTCTACTTTTTATAGAACAATAAAATGGTCCAGTTGAAAGGGGATGTTAGATACATTATTAGAAAATCTCAAAAAAGTAAAATATTTTACATTATGAAGTGTCAAAATTTAATTTCCAACATCTGTGAATGAATATGTCATATTATTTTGTTAGATTTAAGACATAAATGATTATATTCTGATGCTTGCTATGATAAATGATTGTCATTTTTTAAGATGCTTTGATACTTTTTTTTTATTTAAATACACTTTGGCCTGTTTGTCTTTTTTAAATTGTTTAATAAGAAAACAGTACAAAGAAAACAAAATAAAACTAAAAAATACAAAAAAAAGAAACAAAAGACTTCTTTAAGCTTTTAAAAACTTTATAATTGCTTAACTCTTTCACTTCTTTGTGTAAACTGTTTCGGAATTTTATGGGCTACTGTTATTACCTCTGGCAACAAATAATTATTTTTCATTTTAGAACTATAGTTTGTTGGTCTATGATATTCATTGATTAAATCCAAAAGAAAGCAGTCAGTTATTTGTTGTTTTATTAACTTAGTCATCCAAGGTAATTTCTTTCATGTTTTAATATCTTTAAATAAGCATATTTGATTATTTTAATTAAACTTATAATTATCATAAAAAATATCATTGATAAATATTTTACTTTAAGTAATAGAAATTACAGAAATTTAAATATTTTTAATTGGACTGATTAATGTTTATGTTTGTCATTTTGTGTTAAAAATTGCTATTTAATATCAATTCAGTTTCAGATCATATCTATGTTTATTTGCTCTTTTATTCATGAAAAATTTTAAGTCTAGACTTTGTCTACTCTGATGTAATGTATTTAAGAATTTATAATTTTGCCATGACAAATGGTTGATTATAAAAAGTTGCATGGCAATAATAATTTAAAATATGATGTTGGAATGAAATAAAAGTGAGAATTTTAATATGTGAGAAGGAGTAACTTTACTAGAATTAACTAAAATAATATTTTTGAGTATTAAATAAACAAAGTGATCTCTATTAAAGGAAAACAAGATTAATGGAAGATAGAAGATAAACAATGAATATTAATCATTTTAATGTTGATTATTGTTCTATTAATCTATATATAATTTATTTTATATATTTTTAAAGTATGTAAAAACATGTCATATTGGAAGGAGAAATTTGTATTCATTAAATAAAATAGTTAATAACATGGCTATTTCATAAATTATATTAATTAAATAGATTATTTTAATAATTAGAGAATATTAGAGAAAATAATTAAAATATTTTATTAATTATAATAATTAGATTTAAAAGCAAATATTAAAGTTTAAAATTGAAAATTTAATTTCAGATTCTGATACCGCCTAAAGATTTAATAAACAAACTGAAACAGGAAGCTGACACACCAAAATTGGTAAGAAAATTTTACAAAATTATTTTAGAATATCAATTTGTTATTTCAATATTTATTTCTACCAGGTATTGGATCAAGTAAAATACAGAGTAGAGTGGACTAAACATCAAGAAGCTATTAAAAGACGGGAAGAGGAGGAGGCTGAAAGGGAAAGAGGTAATAATTTTACATTACAGTTGTCAACTATATAGGGAAAAAGGGCTTATTTATTGGAAAGATGATGGTTGCATATTGGCATATATTTATAATTATTATTGCAAAGCTGATATCAATTAATCAATTAAAATATTGTTTCATAAATACCAATTTAAATATATTAATTGAAATATAAAAGAAATAAATGATGAATTTTTATAAATTTTAAATTCATATATTTTTCAGTTCAGTATGCTCAAATTGACTGGCATGATTTTGTTGTTGTGGAAACTGTTGATTATCAACCAAATGAACAAGGTAAATAGAAATATAATACGTTTATAGAATAATATTTTAAAAAATTCTAAAATATTAAATTGTTTATTGCAGGACTTTTTCCACCACCTACAACTCCAGAAGAAGTTGGTACAAGAGTACTTGCGCAACAAAGATTCGAGGAAGAAGGGGTAATTAATCAATTTATTTTTAAATTGTACAGATATTTTCTGCTGAAAATAAATACTGTTTACTATCTCTCTAATGCAGGTGTTAAATGCAACTTTCTAAAATTTTCATATTTTAAAAATTTAGGCATCTTATTTCCTTAACTTGCATGTACATGGAAATTTTTATGAAAGAATATACATATAGTTTACTTTAAAATTTAATGCAAAAATGCTAATATAATTTGCTTTTATTTGCATTATAATTGTGTGGTTGTAGTTTTTATGTTTGCATTATAATTAAAGAACTACTCAAATTTTTTTGCATTCATTAAAATTTTTTTCTGATAAAACATGTAATAGGTAATAATTTTTTTGTTTTTATTCTAAAGTGTATTTCTTTGCTTTAATTTTATCAGGAAGAAGTCGAAATGGAAGTAGAATCTGATGATGATGGTAGTGACGCAGAAGTAAACAACAATGAAAAATCTGTACCAGATAATATACAGGTATTGAATGAGTTAATTTTTTTAATCAATAGGATTAGAATCTACTCACAAAAATGATATTTGAAATTTAAATATAGAGTTTTAAAATTGGTATTTGAAATTACAAGTTATTTTCTTTAAATATATAAATTCAGTGTTTTCCCTGAAAAAGTTTTAGTTGTAATTTTTATAGATTGTGTATTAACTTGCTGCTATTGCGAATCTCCTTATGAATGCTGGTTAATTAATGACAACAAAACAATACTCATGCTATAACACTTAATACTAACCCATAGTTATTTTCATAAATTTTGAACATTTTATGGAATTCACTTGTACATATCCATATAAATGTACACACTTAAAATTTCTTGTACAGATATAAAAAGTAAGAATAAATGACATTAATACTTGAATATATATGTATTATGCAAGTTACAGTAGTCTTTAGTTGTTATAAAAATTATTTAACTTAGAATAATTAAACTTTCAAATGTGTTAGCATCCTTTTTTGTTATTTTTTGCTAAATGAATATTAAAAGTCAAAGGCATCATATGTGTACTTGGACTAATATTAGCTATATTTTTTTATTTATATTAAAAATGATCAGTTTTTTGTTTTTAAATCTTAAATTTTGTGATTTTGTGAACCAATAATTGATTATTTATTATATAGAAGTTACTAAAATGTTTTTAATAATTAGAATAATGACTAAATAATAGGTGTCTTATACAATTGCATTACTCATCTTCAGGGGCTAAAAATAATAATTTAAACAAATTTCTCTTCCAATATAATGAAGCTAAATTGACTCCATTTAATCATGTCTTTCATATCTTGACAAAAATGTTTGAATAGAAGTCTACTTTTTATAGAACAATAAAATGGTCCAGTTGAAAGGGGATGTTAGATACATTATTAGAAAATCTCAAAAAAGTAAAATATTTTACATTATGAAGTGTCAAAATTTAATTTCCAACATCTGTGAATGAATATGTCATNTTAATGAAATACTTTTGAATAAAAGACAATTTGAGGATTGCTTAAATGTGTAAAGAATTAAAACTTTGCAAAGTAACTGTGGAACATCAAACTTTTATTTTATTTAAGTTTTGTGCTTGAAAGGTTTTTGAAGCCAACCACTACCCAAGATAAACTGTTACCCAAAGTTTTGAATTTTTGAACAAATAGAACATCTTGCGACACAACTTTCACCATAAAAGTCATAGAAACTTTTCATTTTACTTGAAAAGACATTTTCATCTTGACTCTTTAGTTCATTTTCTTAGCTATTTCTAAAATAAATAACACCAACAGATGAATAGATTATGTTTAAATTAATGTTACAAATACAGTTAAACATCAATATAGCAGCTACTTAAATAGTGCTACAATTGTAAAGCACCAACAAATACTTGTTAATGTATTTTCCTAAAGATGTTAAATAGAGAATCTTTCAGTATTTGTAAATTATAAATGTATGATTTTTCAGTGGAAATGATATTGTCATCACTAATCATGACTTTCATAAATTCAAACTTGTGTGTAAACTATTACTGTATATAATTATTACTGAAAAAGGTCAGGATTAAATGTATATTAAAATATTACAATTCAAAAACTAAATACAAATAAAAGTTTGAAGTCTTCATACATCCTTCACAATCACAGGAACATAATTAACATGAGCAGAATCTGTTGCTAGAGGGATTTAATTAATTTACATATTCATAAGCAGAAAAGAACCTCAAAGGAAAGATTGCTAATGTTAATTGTGTTCCTGTGGTTGTAAAGGATGTGAAGAAATGAAGTTTTTATTTGTATGTAATATTCAATGTGTAATAATTATTATTGTTTAAGATTCTTCAGTTTAGTACTACTATTGATTTACTAGCAATTTCAGAAGTGGATAAACAGTGGCACTAAACTGAGGTTTTACTATAATTTAAATAAAAAAATTTAAGAATATACATTTTGCTATTTGGATAAAACATTGTATTTTATAATTGTTTTTTCTAACTCCCATGATTATTTGGTTCAGTATCAAAACTATACAATAGCTCATGGTTCTGACATTGAGTATGACCACCACTGCTACTATACTTTTCCCTGACAGTATTTCCAGAGTTAAAAAGTTTTTCTTAACTCTGTTGTCATGATTGACTAGCTACTAGTAAATATGCTAACTATAAATGCATGCATATTCTATTCTCTTATTGCCATATTATAACAAAATTAATATGATAATTGGCAAACCATTTGTAATGTCCAACATTCTCCAATAGTCATATTGTATAAGATATGAAAAGTACAATAAATTATTTATGATATGAAACATGCTGTAGAATTGACATTTTACAAATGAAAATGATTAAACTGAAATTGTTTTTAATTTTTTTACTCAAAGTAAAGATTCTCACTCATCAGAAATGAGCAGGTGACTAAGTTTTTAAGTTCTGATCACAGAAATAAAAAGTACTGATATTGTTTCTTATTTCTATGTAAATATATAAATTTTATTCTATTTTCTTCAGTTTAAATATGAATATTTTATAAGTTTTTGATATCATAGATGAAATTTTAGTAAAACATTAAATTATATATTTCTAAATGCAAATTACATTATTAAAAGATAAGAATTGATAAATTTATAATTTAAGCCAATCAATATGTTACTTATAATAAATCAGCCATGCATTAGACATTATCTGGATTTTATAATTAATTCAGATTAAGTTGGTAATTGCATCTGATAAATTGTTATTATTCTTCATCTAGAAATCAGAATAAATGGAATTAAAAATAAATAAATAAAATGAGAAGTATAAGTTCATTGTAATAAATTTACATAGAAAATTATGATCTGAGCATTTCAACAAACTCAGAATTCACTAAAATTACTTTAAACATATCTTTATGTAGAAAGTTCTTTAAATAAAATTGTACAACCCAAATGTTCAAACTGTATAAGATTATCTTCAGAGCTGGCTGGATGACCAAGGCTGTTAAAGCATCAACTTAATCCTCTGGGAACTCAGATTTTAATCCAGGCAGTTGAAAAACCCAGTAATTTTTTTCAGGGTGGTCTGTCCTAGATATATCAGTCCTGCTCCTCATCTAGCTGCCCTATTGTGGGCCTGGTCAAACACACTCATCATATCCATTGTGGGTATGATTAAAAGACCCTCTTAGTGCCCACAGGACAGAAAGAGAAACAAATTATCTAGAGAGTATTTTTTTTACAGTTTTTAAAGTCAGAAATAACTAAAAGAAAGTCTAATTCTTGTAAATATTCAATTTTTATAACAATTCATTTTAAAAATCAAATGTTTATCATCATTCTATTTGCAAACTACTTATTAAATTCCATGAAATTGTGAATACATGCAAAAGATATTGTTTCTGTAAGGTATATTAAAAAGGTTTTGCTTTAATAAAGAGAGATGAGTTGAAAGCAATAAAAGAAAAATATAATTTTTTTTAAGAAAAAAATTCTTACATTGAACATTTTAAAATGACATCTGACATATATAAAATTGTAAATTCTGAAAATTATAACTGTATTCAAAATATTTGACTTTATTATTATTTATTTATTTTGAAATTAATTTAACTAATAAGATATTAATGAAAATTTTTCACAAATTAGATACAAGACATGGAACAAGATTCTTCTGATGATGATTCAGAAAAACCACCAAAATCTCACAGTCCACCACCACAACCACCAAAAGAAGCTCCTCCACAGCCACCACCACTTCCTCCTCAACCTGATCAAGTCATTATCAGAAAGGATTATAATCCTAAAGGTTTGAAATTTTTAAATTTACTTTTCTGATTAATGTTTTATAAATCACCAGTTTAAAAAATATTCAAAAGCTTTTCGAATACTGATAAGGCAAGAGTTTTATTCAAAAGTGCATTTTTAAAAGTATTGTGCATTAAT